TACCCATCGGCCCGTAACCGTTGTCCCGACTGTGGTCTATCAGGTCTTTCATGCTGTTCACCACCTCCGATATCTGCATACAGACGCGCCGTCCCAGTGCTCTCACGTCAGTCCAACCCGACCATCCGCACCCATCCACAATCCACGATCCACGATCCTCCCACCCTCTCACCTGCAGACACCGCACGTAGCGCTTCGTGTACCCAAGGTCGTTCACCGTTGGCAGCTCCAAATTCTTCGCCAGCTGCCGCGCACTTGTCACAAACCTGCCATCACCCAACCCAACCCCACCCCACCCCACCCGCTCAGCCTACTCCTTCGCGTCCACACCACCACGCATCACTCATCGCCTCCACCAATTCCACGCCCCCTCAACTCTCCCCACTTCACTTCCAACCCATTTCCGTCCCTCCAACCGCTCCCTCCCCACTCCACCCCTTTCCTCCTGTCCTACCTCGACAACAACACCATCATGTCCCCAACTCCCCATCCAAACCACCTTCCGCTCCCCCACGTCACTTACAGATGACAGCTCGTTTGCATCTCTTGACCCGACGCTCCTGCTCCGCCGTTCTGTGAGCTCTGATACTTCTGCGATATTTGCACCAACTGGTTCACCTGATCACCACCCCATCCACCGCCCCGTCATTTCAACCGCACCCCTTTCCCTCTACATCCCTCCCACCCTTCCCTCCTCTCCTTCTCCCATCCCACACCCCACCTCCCGCCCAACCAACCCTCGCCACACCCCGCACCTACAATGTACCTGCGGCACGATCAGCCTTCGCGGAAGCAGCTCCTCGTGGCTCCGACCACAAAACTCCCACGACAGTATCTGCACATACCAACCACCCGCATCACCACTCCCCTCCCACCACTCTTTCATCTCCCTGCCCGTCCCCCACTCCGCTACCGCCTCTTCTCCCCACTGACCACACACACCAAGCACCCTTCCTATCCACTTCCCTGCCTTCCTCCACGCCGCACTCCCCGCCGACTCACCTTCCACTCTGCCGAAAACACGATCCGCAACTGTCCTTCCCGGACCACGCGTAGCTGCTCGAAAACGCTCTCCTGAATTGCTTTCCCGTATTTCAGCACCATGTGCCCCGATGCTTGCCGATACTCGTGCGGAACATCCACGAACAGCAGCTCCTCCTGGATCCCGCTGTCGAACTTCATCTTCATCAGCCTCGGCAGCACCTCCACTGTCGTCTCTGCACCATCCCACGCAATGCCCCCATCAGATCCCACCCCAATCTCCCCCACCACCACCTCCACATTCCCTGCATCAAAACCTCCACCCCACGTCACCCACCACCACATCCCCCGCCACTTACCGAAACCTCGTCCCGGATTCGTTCCACATATCTCGCAGTGCCAAACATCCTGCCAACGCCACAGTGCACCAACCACAGTCAACCACCCCCACTTCCTTGCCACCCAAAACTGCCCTTCCCAACTCCCCCGCCCAACAGCACCCTCACCGCACTACTCACACTCCCCCAACTCATGCGTCCCCGCCGCCTCCATCCATCCCTCACATCCTCACCCAACCTACTCCCAACCCTCCCTCCCACATTACCGCCTTCCCAATGCCCACCTGTGGGAAAATCCCCGTCGGTTGACGACCGCCGCTCCCATACTGGCTCACGCACCACCTCTTCCGAGCATTTGCCGCAAAATACTCCCCCACAAAGTTCCGCCAAAACGCGATGTTGTTGTCCTGCACTCCTCAGCCCACACCCACCCGTCATTCACCACTTCCATCCCTGCTCCCGCCTCCAGACACTTTCCCCCCTCCCCCTACCAGGACCCCCTCCCTCTCCCTCTCTCAGAACCACCTCAACTCAACTCTACCACGCCCCCTCTCGCGCTGCCCACCCCCTCCACCGTCGCCCTACTTACGCCTACATACCCCACGTCCATCCCCACACGCTCTCATTCAACCTCCTACCCCGCACTCACAGGAGGCCGATGCCTTTGATGATACAGATACTGCATAACCCTCCGACCGCACACTCCAGCCTCGACATCTTC